TAATTTAAATCTAAGGTTGTTATGATCACAACTTTAGACACAATCCTAACCCTATTTCCTATGTGACATCATCTACTTAATATAAATCTAATGTGACTTTATATTAGAAGTTTAAATTTTTATTATCATTTTTTTTATTCTTTACGTCAAATCACTATACTTATCCAATTCAATACCATAATTTTATTATAATAATAAGTAATTTTTTTTAACACTAACCCTATTTCTAACTCTTTAAATTTAAACATAGATATTAACACCAATCTTATTTCTATTATTTTAAAATTGGTCAACTAATAATAATAATAATAATAATAATAATAATAATAATAATAATAATAATAATAATAATAATAATAATAATAATAATAATAATAATAATAATAATATTAATAATAATAATAACATTTAAATTTTAATATTTAAATTGATATAATTTATGAGTTATGAATAATAATAATTATATAATAATATTCATATTCCTATTTTGATTCTAATTATAAATTAAAAAAATAAAACTCATAAAAATCTTCATTCTTATTATTTAATCCTATAAAATAAAAATATTTAAAAATTTCATTTTAATAATCATTAAATTTTTAACTAATACAGTGCAATTATGATAATATAAAAAGTATAAAAAAATCATTGATAATTACTACTGGTCAAAAATTTAAAATAAAATAAATCAAGTAAGTCTAAAATTATTTACTACTTTTTTCATTTTTTTAGATAAATTTTGTGTTACTTGGATTTTAAAATAATAAATAAAATCATATATCACAAATATAAAACTTATTTTAAAAACAAATTAGATAAAAAAAATTTCACTTATTTTGTTTTTAAATTACAAGAAGGTTTTGTCTCAATTTTATTTAATAACTAAATTATATATTTAATTTTATATAATTGAAAATTTAATTATAAAATATAATAAAAATATTTTTTCATTATAAAAGTTAGAACGATAATTTTTAATAATCAAATTAACAAACTTGTTTTAACTTTAAAATTGTTTTTGAAAATTTGTTTATCAAATAAATTTATGTATGTATCACAATAAATAATAAATAAATATAATTAAATATATTTATCATTATTATTATTATTATTATTATTATTATTATTATTATTATTATTATTATTATTATTATTATTATTATTATTATTATTATTATTATTATTATTATTATTAAATTATGTCTCATAATTGAGTTATGAGTTATGAAAAAGAATAAAAATAATAATACAATTCATATTTCTATTCGTATTCCAATTCTAATTATAATTAAAAAAATAAAACTTATAAAAATATTTACATATTTATTCAATTATTAACGGTATCTAATGAAATAAAAATAAAAACTATAAAAATCTAAACTTATATAAATTTTACAATATATTTAATTCTTATTCATAAATTTATAGTTGATAAATTTCGATTTTTTCACAAGAAAAATAATGGAACCTCAATTATAATATAAACAAATACAATTAATAGAACTTTTAAATTTAAAATAAAAGAATTCAAGTAAGCATAAAATTATATTCTACATTATTCATATTTTAATATAAATTTAGAATTACTTGGATTTTAAAATAATAAATAAAATAAAAAATCACAAATATAAAAAAAAAATTCACAATAATTATGTTAAAATTCATTATCACTTAGTTTATAGAAATAATAAGAAGATTTTGTCTCAAATTTATTAGTAACTAAATCATATATTTAATTTTATATAACTAAAAATTTAATTATGAAATATAATAAAAATATTTTTTATTTATGTAAGTTAGTACAATATTTTTAATTATCAAGTAAAGAAGTTTATTTTTAACTTTTAAATTGTTTTTAAAATTAATTTATCAATCAAATAAATTTATGTTTGTATCATAATAAATAAATAGTAATAAATATCTTAATATTATTATTTTTATTATTAATTTTATGTCTCATAACTAAGTTATCAGTTATGAATAATAATAAAGATAATAAAAAGTTCATATTTCTATTCATATTCCAATTTTAATTATAAGTAAAAAAAAATAAAACTTATAAAAATATTCACATTCCTATTCCAATTATTAAGGGTATCTAATAAAATAAAAATAATAATTAAAAAAATCTAAATTTAATCAAAATTTAATATATATATATATATATATATATATATATATATATATATATATATATATATATAAATATATATATATTTATATATATATATATATATATATATATATATATATATTATATATATATATATATATATATATATATATATATATATATCGGTATGGTACGCGCATTTATTCTTAAAATATAATAAAAATAAAATAATTTTTTTTAAAAGAGATAATAAATTGGTGTCTATAATTTTTTCAATATATAAAAATATTTGACTCAGTCGTATATATTTATTTTATATAAATATTATTTTTGTTTTTGAATTATTGTTAAAAGTATTTAAATCAACATTAAAGTTATTCTATTATTATTCAATATTTTGATCAGTAAATTTATGTTCCCATAAATATTTAATATTTTTATCAGTAATTTCATATTTTCGTTATTATTCAATATTTTAATCAATAATTTAAGATATAATAAAAATGAAATAAAAGATAGACAAAATTATTTAAAAAACAAAATTTAACAGTAACTTCATATTCCCGTTAATATTCAATATTTTAATCAATAACTTCATGTTCTCGTTAATATTCAAAATTTTGATTAGTAACTTTGTGTTCCCGTTAATATTCAATAATTTTGTTAATATTCAATAATTTTGTGTTCCTGTTAATATTCAATATTTTGATCAGTAGCTTTGTATCCCCGTTAATATTGATCAATAACTTTGTGCCCCCGTTAATATTGATCAATAGCTTTGTGTTCCCGTTATTATTTCATATTCTCTTCATGATAATTTTTTTCTTCCAGAAGTCTCATATTTTCTTTATCAATAAATTAAAATCATATAATATTTAAAAATAAAAAGTAAAAAATAATTGTACTAAATGAAATAGAGCTTAGATGATATTAAATTAATTTATATTCTCTTAATTATGCACTATTCTAGTTAATCATTTATAAATATACAAAATGCACAAACATAAATAAATATGTAGCGATTTTCTTTGAGATTGAGAGTAGAAATAAATTAAAAAGCCAAGTTATTGTATGTCAAAGGTTATAAAATGTAAATTCATGTATAAGTACAAGATACAAAAACAAAATGCATAGTAAAATTTTATATTTTATATTTCAAACATATTAATATTTATTAACTTTAATATTATATATATATATATATATATATATATATATATATATATATATATATATATATATATATATATATATATATATATATATATATATATATATATATATATATATATATATATATATATTAAATATTCTTACTATGTTTCACGTGGAATTTAAACATAAGTTAGATAATGAAATTTACGCACAAGTTAAATATGTTTCACGTGGAATTTAAGCATAAGTTAGATAATGAAATTTACGCACAAGTTAAATGAGCACGTGCGTTATCTAAACTTCATATTTAAATAGAGAAGATTTTCGATACATTTATATTCAAATGTATATTGAAAGTTATATTTATATATTTTTTATATGGATCTAATTGATTGTGTCTCGTGACACTTTATGATATATTGCAATCACATTTTAAACATTAAAAATAAGTGTAAATGAGTGATATCATAACATACAATTATTTTGACAGTGAAAATGAATAACCAACCGTAAATTGTATTATATGTGTAAAAACAATGATGTAAATTGAATTGTATTAGAGTAGTCATAAAAATAAAGTTGTGATTACACATAAAATATGATTGTAAATGATTGAACAATTGAAATATAGGTGTGCTAAGATATAATATTTACATATAAAAGGAAATCATTAAATCAAAATATTAACACATTTAAAAAGAAAATATGTCTTTGAAACATGTTGCTTTATATTTCAATATGTGATATCTCCATGAGTAAGCTTGGAAAAAACACACAGAGAATGAGCTTGTAGCTCACTTGGTATAAACAACACATGACCAACAACTATCAAAATACGGAACAAAAAAGAGATAGTGATACCTGGAGGCAATTTGCTGAAGGGTGGTTGGCATAGAGCAAACAAAGATTGACTTTGTGAGAACTGCTTCATTATTCTCCCGTATAGTTGTAATTCTCAAAAGTATAATACTAATAATACTATGTCATAAAATAAAGTTTCTAAATCACTTATATTTTTATTTGTATTTGTGATTTATGTAGATTACATGTTTGGCCTCTATATCATGCAAATTGCAATTATAAACTCCCAGTTCTTTTACATCTTGGAATCTCAACTTTAGTTTAATCTTAGGTTTGTGGTGTTAAGTTGCAATAAGCAATTGCAAGACACGCACATCTGCGACTACAACCGTAATTTAAAAACATGCTTCGATCAATATATCAGTTTCTAGAGACCTGTAACATAGAAAAAACACTGTCTTTAGAAAGCATAGTTATCAACTCGTTCGAGTTACACGTATGACAATACAAACCGACTCTTACAACAAGGAATTCATGTTGAATGCAGAATAGTAAGGGATCGTAAACATTCCATTTGAGAAGAAAAGAAATTGATTGAAATAGAAGTTATGAAAATTCAGATATTTCAGATCCAAGATTGCTGTGTAATTCTTGGTTATATAACTTTTCATCATTTTCAAAATAAAACAACATAGAGAAAAAAATTAGTATCACTGCTAAAGTATCTACATGCCTTTAATTAGTTTATTTTTTTAAAGAAAATTTATATATTTGTAAGTTACATGATATTATGTATACTCAATTATTTTTAACTGTGTAAGTTTACCAAATTATGACAATATGGACATAATCTCAAGATCACTGAAAAACCCACGTCACACATATTCGATATAGCATAGCAGAAACAAAAGAGGCACCGAAAAAAAATTACTTACAAGTAAGACTCGTGCATATCTGAGTCATTGTCAGAAAATAAACCAGCAATTGATGAAGAGATTTTCAAATGCCTTTTTGTAATTTCTGCCACAACTTCACCATTGAATTTAATAAAATACATAGTATCATAGTCATCAGCAACACCAAGAATTTCATCATCTTCAGACGAAGCTCCCACACTAAATGTACCAAAAATAAGAATCTAACAAACACCAATTCAACATCAGAATCAAATTGTTTTCAATTTCAAAATTAAAGCAGTTATAATCATATCTAGGATTCCTAAGAAGAACTTACCGGTGAAAATCACATATGATTGCTGATACTCATCCTCTTTACTCAGAATCGTAATTCGATTTCCAGCAGCAATAGCAACAACAACATATTTGACCGTAGGGGAAACAAATAGTGACACTAATTTTCTAAGTCTCTTTGGTTCATTATATTCAATCCATTTCTCTTTGAGTTGAACCACACCTTCGTCACATAAATAATAGATGAATTAGATTCAAATAAACGTTAATCCAGATCAGCCAATGTGTATAGAAAACAAATATCAATCAAGCTTATACAAACTATATCAGTCTCGTGCTTCACAATAAAAGCCATAGCCTCTGGTGTTTCCAACTGTGCTGTCATTATTAGGTCCCCTTCATTTTCTCTATCCTCATCATCTACAACCACTGCCATCTGAAATACTAATGTCAGATAATAACATAAAGCTAAGTGGCAGCAACATAAAACCAAAACTTATAATACAAGGCTTCCTTGCATTAACAGTTAAAAGAACATCAGAGAGAGAGAGAGAGAGAGAGAGAGAGAGAGAGAGAGAGAGAGAGAGAGAGAGAGAGAGAGAGAGAGAGAGAGAGAGAGAGAGAGGAGAGAGAAGAGAGAGAGAGAGAGAGAGAGAGAGGAGAGAGAGGAGAGAGAGAGAGAGGAGAGAGAGAGAGAGAGAGAGAGAGAGAGAGAGAGAGAGAGAGAGAGAGAGAGAGAGAGAGAGTAGCAACCTTTCAATTGCGAATATCTTCGATAGCCTAAGGAATGAAAGCAAAGTCTTTCGTTTTAGAAAGAGAAAGAGGAGAAACATTATTAGTAGAAAGATTTAACTTAACAACACCTTGCTTGTCTGACAAGGAATCTGTATCGGTGGAAAGTCCCACTTCACCCAAGTTGGAACAATTAATAACAAAATGTAAATGAATTACGCCAGTTATGAAACACACACAATATTGATGTAATTGAAGCAAAGTATTAAATTATAGTATTTGAGTTGCAAAAAAAAAGAACAACAAAAGTAGTATGATATGAAATTATTGATAACAAATAGATCATTCTTACCGACGTAGGCAAAGAGGATGCAATAACAGGTGCTACTATTGGAAATGGGATTGCAGCAGCCACTGCTCCAAACTTGCCTGAAATTGTTCAATACAATTGCACGAAAAGTGTTTCACCAGAATGCTCAGGAATGCGCAGGAAGGGGCAAAATTGAAATGTAGTACCAAATACAAAGAAGATAAGCATGAATCCGGTTGATAGTTGAATGACTCTCCGACTCCCAACGCGTGTTAGGCCGAACAAACCTGCATTTTGCCTTAAGTCCAAGAAAAGGAAAGACGATTAGAAAACCCTTATTTGTGAAACGGAAAATTGGGGGTGAAATTGAGAGAGAGGAATAGAAACAAACCTTGAGAAAGTGATAGAGGTGTTTGCAATTTGAAGAGGTGAATCTGCTATCTCTGAACTGTGTCATCTTCATCATCATCCTTCAAACCTCCAATCTTCTTTATACTCCATTTGCAGTGACTTCCAATCCGCAATCATCATCAAGGTTCTTCAATCACAACATCACGCACACATCAACAGTCATCAATCAACCGAACACGAAATTGAGAAGAAAAACCAAACTGAAGTAGAGATCGCGAGCGAAAGAGATTGAGCTGTGGAGAGCGGCGCTTGTCGGAGAAGAAGGAGAATATGACTTTGACGAAACAGACGGAGAGTAATTGACAGAGAGTCGTTCGAGAGCGACGCTCGTTGGAGAAAGAGATAAAGAGAGGAAGATGAAATGAAAGAAGTTTGAAATAAAAAAAGTTCTTACAACATTGAAACGCTCCCTCAATGCCATGACTGATGAAAAATATAACCGCCATAGAGAGATAGTGGAATGAGGAGCAGTGGAAACAAATGGTTGTGTAACCGACAATTTTAAGGTTCGAAGAAATAAGGAATAGGGAGAAAGGGATTAATTGTGGAAGAAAATTTTGGTTGGAACAAAAATTTTGTTTTCGTACTTCACGTGTTGTGTTTTTGGAATAAAAGGACAAAATAAGATTTTTGGTTAGAATAGATTTTCTTATATTATAGATTTTAAAATATATTTAATTCTTATTCATAAATTTATGGTTGATTAATTTTGAGTTTTTCACATAAAAATAATGGAACCTCGATTATAATATAAATAAATACCATTAATGTGTAATTTTCAAAATCCATCTTAGTTTTATGCTATAAATTTTAGTGGAGTAAATTTTTTTTTTCTCAATTAAAATAATAGAAAATTAAGATTAAAAATTATGATATTTAAGATTATTATAAAATTTATATGAAAATATATCCCATAAAAAGTGTCTCTCATGTAAAAAAACAAGATAAAAGAATATTATATGAAAAAAACAATATTTTTACTATTTCTTAATTATCACTTATTAATTTAATTTCTTCACAAACTATATATTGAATTGCCCGTTTCACAAAACTCTCAATTTTTGTAACCTTAATTCTCATAAATTTTAATATTATTTCTTTAATTATTATCTTAATAGTCGTTAAAACTATAATTAGTATACAATATAAATTAACGATGTTGTGAACTATAAATTATTAGAATTATTGGATTTGAATCATTTTTTTACTCTTTATAAATTGGAATCACTTAATTTAGTCATTATTTTACCAACTCTTGAAAAAATTATAAAATTTATTTTGGTTGTCCTGCAATCAGCTCTTGAAAGGTATACTTCAAGACATTCTAATATATAGGTTGGTAAATTATTTTAACCCTATTTTTATTGATATCAAACATTATTCACTTACTTTTCTAATTTTATTTATTACTTAGTTGATTTTAATTAGTTAATTTTTGTTACAATAATTTTTTATACTATTTTAATGATATTTTTATATATTTATAATCAACATTTATTAATTATGAATTTAATATAATATTGAACACAATATTGAAGCAGGTATTGAAGATTTATTGATTATGAATTCATATTTCATCTGCTTCAGTACTCCTTCAAAAAAATATTTTAAATTACAATATTGACTAATTAAAATCAACTAAGTAATAAATTTAAATGGTATTATATGAATTTATTCCATCTCAGAATATGAATTTAATACAATATTTAACACAAAAATGATATTATTTATCTTTCACTAAATTTGTAATTTGGATGATAAATAAATATAAATATATAAAACAATATCAAAACAAAAAATACTTATAATAATGTAGTAAAATGTATCATATTAATGAAAAAATTAATTAAAAATAATTAAGCATTTTTATTGATTGTCACTATCCGTTTAATACATATAAAATTCTCCATTGTAAGAATTCTTTTCATAATATTTAAAATTTAATAAATATCTAAAACAAATTCTATAAATATTTACTATTTACAATACAAATATATTATTATTATTATTATTATTATTATTATTATTATTATTATTATTATTTATTATTATTATTATTATTATTATTATTATTATTATTATTATTATTATTATTATTATTATTATTATTATTATTATATTATTATTATTTATTATTATTATTATTATTATTATTTTATAGGAAATATTATTATTATTGTTATTTTATTATTATTATTATTATTATTATTATTATTATTATTATTATTATTATTATTATTATTATTATTATTATATTATTATTATTATTATAAGAAGAATAAGAATAACTATGCTGTTATTTTTTAATATAAACATTTAAAACTAATGTTAATAATAATTATTATGCTTTATTAAATAAGTTTCTATAATTTTTCAATTTTATAATTATTTTATCACTCAATACAAATAATACTAATTAATAACCCTTTTTAAATACTAAAATTATGAGTTACAATTTTTAATAAGAATTATTATCCTATTAATAAATATGATCACATATATAAATTCATAATTGGTGCGTGGATTTTAGATAGTTGTACTATATAATTTGGTTATAGGTCTTCATCTTTGGTCTTTGGCCTTACTCCTAACATCTATATATATATATATATATATATATATATATATATATATATATATATATATATATATATATATATATATATATATATATTATATTATTTCTTATATGATACATACTTTTTTATTTTGTATTGTAATTTTTATTTTATTTTCTTATTTATCATGTATGTTTGAAATAATATTTGTTTTATGTTACCATCTAAAGACTCAAATTGTTAGAAATAATTTATATTTTAGAAATGTCTTGTTGACTAAGTGTGTTTGAGGATATTTTAGTATTTTATTATACCCTAATATTGTATATAAATAGTCTAGTAGTAGGTAGGTTAATATATTCATTACTCTTTATTTTGTAGTTGTCATTCAATATATTCCTTTTGTCTTTCATCTCTCCTTTGTGCATCAACAATTGGTATCTAGAGATCCGGTTCAAAATCCACGGGGAAACACGAGAAACACGTGTGAACAATGAGGTGTTATGTGATTGTGAATCACATTTTTCTGATTCTATGTCAGATGATGAACCTGTGCTATTAATGACTTATGAATCTGATGAGGAACCCGTGAGATTGTCATTTTCTAATTCTGAAGGGGAAGAAGATGATTCTGAATATTCTGACTCTGAAGGAGTGTTTGAATATGAGTCTGAATTAGAAGATGACGCCGAAGATTATGAAGATGAGTCAGAATCTGAGGTTTCTGAAGATGACTCAGAGTTAGAAGATGATTATGAAGCTGAAGACAAGTCAGAATTTGAAGGTGATTATGGGTCTGAAGAAGAATCAGAAGATGATTCAGAATCTGAAGGAGATTCTGCTTCTGAAGATGAGTCAGAACTTGAAAGTTCTGAAGGTGAGTCAGAGTCAAAGGATGAAGAATCTTCTAGAGACTCTAAAGATGAGTCAGATGGTGAATCTGATTCTGATCCAGATTTTGCATCTAGTGATGGTCATGCTTCTAGAAGGGAAAACTCTGAAGACGTAGGTTCTAGAGGACAAGATTCTAAAGATGATCATGTTTCTGGTGGAAATTATGACTTTAAGGACGGACCTTCTGAAGGAGGAGCTTCTGAAGGAAATCCATCCTTTGACGATGATCATGATTCTGAAAGTAGAACTTCTTAAGGCAGAGCTTCTGAAGGTGATCCAACTTTTGAAGATGATTGTTGTACCCCAAAATTTTCCCTCCAATTTTCTTCAAGACATTCTTTCAAGGCTTCTCAAAACACTCAAAGGTTGACTAGTCAAGATGCACCTCCTAAATGAAAGGCCTACAACTAGGATTTAGCGTTTCTCAAAGAAATTTGGTTTGCAAAAGTCACAACTTTATTCTATGGTTCTTCATAGGTCCTTAAAAAGGTTCATGTCAAGTTTCAAGCCCTACATCACAAGTTTGCTCAGTCAATGACTCAAATGATTGAAAATCAATTGTATTGGTCAAAAAGTCAATTGTGGTCAACATACAGTTAAACTTCAAGTTTTTTGGTCAACATCAACATTTTGAAGTGATATTCATCATTTGATAAAGTGTTGATCATGATTCCTCAAGGAAAGTCCTCAGATCATCAAAAGTCAAGAATTTACAAAATAGGGTTTTCCTTAGGAGAATTCAACTTAGCTTTGACCAAGCATAACTTTCACACGCTTCATCAAATTTCCCCCAACCAAAGATCATTTTGAATAAAATTCAATTCTCTACATCTTTGTATTTATTTCTCAAGTCCAAAAAATGCTTCATTTGAAAGATATGAGCTAAAACATTATAGGTCATTTCCAAAAGTCAACAAAAAACATTTTTTGTCAAGACAACTTACGCCAAGATAAAGTCTTCAAAATAAAAATGATAAACATGGAGATTGTATAGGGCATCTTGAGCTTTCTAAAAAGTCCAAGATCATCTTTAAAATATGAAAATTGAGCAAGTTATGAGTTGCACAAGTTGGGATTCATGAAATGCAAATGGAGCAAAATTGCAATTTTGAACTAATGGGCCTAGTTTTTGATATTCAAACATGTTTATAAGATGTGATAGGACCTCTAAAAAACATTCACACATGCTCATGATTTTTATTGCTTTTTTTGATTTTTTTATCCATTTAAAAATGAATAAAAAGATGAAAATAGAGTGTGAAGATTTGGGCCTTTGAATTTCAAACCTTTTGTAAGCCAAACAAACTTTTGCAAGCCCAACAAATTCGTTAAAGCCATGCCATAATATGTCCTGGTTCATGCAAATTCAAAAGAGGCAAGCAATATCTTAAAGATGGCAAGTTTTCAATATGCTGGATTTTTGTTTCATAAGTCATGAATGCATTGTTTTCTTCCATATTGGTTCACCCTCACCCTCCTATTTAACTTTATAAATACACAACACATTTAGAAGAAATGGACCACGACATCCTTGCATACAAGAGCTCTCTCAAAATTCTCAAAAATCAAAGAAAAGTTGTAAAATCTGTAACTTTACTTCCAGACGCTATCAATCCAAACCAAGGCCACCAATACATTCCTGAGATCCCCATGAGTCTTCCAGACTCC